AGCAAGAGCCCCATTAAAATCATTTACAATTGATCTGCAGAATTAACTGATCTTGTTACTGCCCCAAGCTTCCACTCTGATTCCAAATTCCTTTCTTCTTCAAACCAAACTGAGGATGTTTCTGATTTAATTTCAGTAATTTGGGATTTGAAAGGACTACACATTCAGGTCAAAATAGCAAGATCTGGAACACTTGCATTGTGCTTATATCTTTTACTGATCACTTGCTCTGATTCTAGAAATTTGCTATAAGAGGATAAAGCAGGGATGAGATTTGTATCAAATATGACAGTATAAAACATCCTTAGATCTGTTTGAATTTACAGTTTTCCAACCATGCAATATCAGTACCACCTCATAGCCAGGTGGGTAACATTCCTTTTCAAAAGAATACAATGGGGGATCTGAGCCAGGAGGATCCCTTCTTAGACCGAGGCTAAAATTGTCCTCTCAGCTTTTCCTAAAGCAGGCCTCCCACCTGTATCACATTCTCTCTGAGTAGCTTGTGGCATTTCTCTCATATGGTGGATTATTGACTATTGATGGATTATTATCCATTAGACAACTCAAAATCAGTTACAGTCTCATGAGCTTTTAGGTCAAACAGCAAGTTTCACTAATCACAGGTTAGGGGAAAATTTTCCAGGATTTATACCTCAAATTTAAATTTTCCTGGTGTAAAAGTCAAATCGTTAGAGATCATTTCTATATACTTCAAATTCTCAGCAAGCCAAGTTCATTGTTTAGGAATTTCATAACCCAAACAAGCCTTTTGGCAAGTTTACAAAATAAAGAGGAATGACAGGGACCCCAGAGAAGGGGCTTCCTATCTAGTCTATCTATACCCTTAGAACTGAGGACTGCTCTGAATGGGCAAAACCAGTCTGGATGAGGCTTTCACCTCATCTCTTCGTTTCTATACGATTAATTACCATAATTAATTATCAGCTTTAGGTTTTAGCATTAAAACAATAACCAACAATCTTACAATTTTCATAAGTGATAGTCAAATTGTTTTAGCTGTAACCAAATTATGAAAAGTTTCTTGATATAACTAATACAAAAGTTTACCAATTTGAAACGAACCCATTACCAATCAGGTGACTTCAGTTTTGTTGAATGCATTTCTGAATTACTTTACACCAAGAATCGGCATCTCATGATTAATGCGTTAAAACTACAGCTTTAATAGAGTAGGCTGGCTAGCTCTTTACCTCGACCCATCCCCCTTCTCTCTCTCCCAGGGCTGCTGGGAAGGGGTGAGCAGGATGTGTAGAACCTGGGTGACGCTTCCAGGCTTTCTGGGTTGCCCTGGGGCCCAAGGCCATTACCCGTAGGCCCCCACATAGCTGCTGCCCCCTCCTCCCTCCTTCCTTTTACCAGGTGGGAGAGGAAGAATGAAACTCTTCTCCTAGTCTGATCTGGGATGAGAGGGGTTAACAGAAAAACCCAGAGCTGTTTGCCACCCTTGCTCTAAAATACCCTTTTGACTCTAGAGAAGGGAGTGGGGGAAGGGGGTGATCATGGTTGTAAGGAGGTGTTTCAAAACTCCTTAATGATCAAATCACAAAACCTCCAGAATCTGCTAAGATGTTTTTAGCTGTTCTAACTTTCCACTGTATCCTTAGCCTGGTCAGAGCTACAAATGAGGAAATCCAGGCCATGAGGGATGAAGTGACTTATTCCTAAGAACACATAGGTAGTGGCAGATTTGAATCCAGGTTTTCTTCCAAGTCCAGGTGTCTCTTCACTGCGCTATGCTAGACTAAAAAATTCATCCAAAGATGTTCCCCTGCTTTTGTACTTATACACTTGTTATTTACTGATTAAATTACTTGATCATAAGCTTTCCTCATTTCATCTTGTCTTTAACTCTCTTGTTTGTTCACACTATTAACCTTTAGTCCCCCCAACCCGCAGTTCTTTCCGAGGCCATCCCTTTTGTGATGTCTACAGTTTACCCCTTTCCCTGTCTCCGCTTGGTGAATCAACCTAATTCTACATTTGTTCTCTATATTTGACTCTCTTTTGTCTGACCACTGATAGATAACACTTTGCCAACTCCAACCTTGGATTACTCCTACTATTTGCTCCCTTTGCTCCTGAATAGAGCCAGATAAAGTTATAAAACCATTCCGTCTGGGTCCATTGCAAATGTTATCTAATATGAATTGGGCCTTCAGTGAAGCAAGGCAGTCCTTTTACCTCTCCATAATCAATTCATTATTCTACTCGCCAGCAGTCATTATAAACTGTTTCATCCTTGCTCCAGTATCCCATGGCATGTTTCTCACTCTCTGAGCTGAGGAATGTTGCATCATGGTTCAGGGTAAAAATTGAGGCTGTTCACCATGAACTTGACTTTTTCTTGCTAATTCAATTCATTAAGTATTTATTAAGCCTTTACTGTGTGCCAGACACTGTGCTAAGTACTGGAAATACAAATAAAAGCAAAAAAGAAATTCGAATGGAGGAAAACAACCCATAAAATGAATCTAAAAGAAATGAGGAGGCATCTAGAGAAATCTAGTGTAAAGACCAGGAAAGAAACGAGTGAGTGAACATGGCTGAGATTGCTAGAGGAACCAGTGTATCAGAGGAAGGGACAAGTTGTGGGTTGAGAGTGAGAAGTCTGGGGAATCAGGAGCTGCCCTCAGAAAGGTATGAACAGCAAACAGCCCCTTTTACTGTATCCTTGGTCCTGCTGGTTTCATTATTTCTGTGCAGATGATTCCCAGGTTTTTTCTATGTATCCCAAATTTCTCTCCTTAGCTACCATCACAATTTTGGATGTGTTGAACTGGACATCTTTAGGCTTCTTAAAACACAACATGACCATACAGCACTCATCCTTCCCTTCACAACCTCATCTCTTCTGAACTTTCCTATTAGGAGAAAAAGAAGTCTCAGTGACATCTTTCTTTCTTTCTCTTCCTTCCTTCTCTCCCTCCCTCCTTTGTTCCCTCCCTCATCTGTTTGCTTCTCATTCTCGTTTTTTCTTCTCTTTTCAGCTGCACAGGACTATTACTGCTGTTGGCATTATGGGCCAAAGAGATTGTTAACTCCTCTTCCAGCCATTGAATCCATTTTATTACATCACTGTTATAAATCTTCTTGTTAGGTTGTCAGACGACTTTAATGATACTTCAGTCAGCAAACTAGCATTTATTGTAATTAAGCAGTTTATTATTACTTTAGACTACTGTTCTTCTGATGATGGAGTTAAATGAAACAGTCCAACCTATTCCAGCAGGGGATCTAAAGGAAAATAAGCCTGAAAATAAGCAACATCTGCAGCAATGGTCCATATTAGTATAATTGGAATAACTTAAATTGAAAGACTTAATTAGGATTAACAATTGGGGAATATGTTTGGGAATAGATATTGTATGAATTGCACAAATATAGTTGCTGATGTTCTTTTATACTAAACAAAATTGCATCTATTTGGGGTGGTACTGTTTTGTTTTTTTGCAGCAGAAATGGTAAATTATGTTATGTAGCAATACTCACTTCAAATAAAATATTTCTCTCTTTGTGAGTGAAGAAGCAGTATTATATGTAAAAAGACACTGGGTTTGAGTTAATTATATAATTAAATGTCTGGATTATTCATTTAATGTTCTTGAGGCTTTCCTTACCCATAAATGGGTATATTTGTACTACTTTATTTTACCTTTTGGGAGTTTTAAAAAATTCAGAAATTAATGGACACCAAATAAAATTAGTATTTCCATATACATTGTCAAATTGAAAGAGAGGACTATGCATGCAACTAAAATTTTCATTTTAGAGTTTGTTCTTCTTTTAAAATAAATAATAACTTCAAAATATAGCTTTCAAAGCTGTCTTACTTTTCTGGGTTTTTTTTTTCTGAAGCTCTATCCTATACCCTTTCTTGCTTATCCTCCAAATTCCCAAATGAAAATAAAAGAATTGAAGAACTCTGATAATGGTATATATTACTAATAAGCAAAACAAATCCCCACATTAACTGTGTCCAAAAACATGTCTCATTCTACCCTTTGAGTTTGTTAGTTATCTGTGAGGAGGTAGGTAATAATATGCTTCACCATTGATATTCTGCATTTATGGAATAAGAGTTCTTAATTTTTTCCGAGTTGTTTTACTTTATAACGTTAATTTTTTTTTCTAGTTTTGTTTCCTCCACTCTACAACAGTTTATATAAGTTTTTACAGATTTCTCTGAAACAATCCTTTTCATTATTTCCTGCTACTCAGCAATGATTACTTCTATTCAGTTACCTTGATTTGGTAGCCATGAGAAAAAAATTTTAATTTTAAAAAATCACCATAAAATATGAGCTATTATGTGAATGGAGGTGGGGAACCTGCTGGCCTTCTCCGTCTTAAAATGTGGCCTTTTCACTGAGTCCAAGTCTCACAGAACAAATCGTTTCATTAAGGAGATTTGTTCTGTGAACTGTGGATTCAGTCAAAGGGCCGCACTTGAGAACCTAGAGGGCCACATGTGGCCTCAAGGCCGAAGGTTCCCTACTCCTGGACTAGATGGTCACAGAAGTCCTTTTTACCCCTCATACTTCAGGATTGTCTTCTTCGTGTTGAAGTTGCAAAAGATTTGGGACATTTGACTGCCTGAGTATGCTATCTTTTGCTAATAGTCTGGAGGATTGGCTTCTAGAAAAAATGATAGCTATATCAGGAGTTATTGGTCATAGAGTTTTGTAACTATTCTGTGATTTTACATTAAATTTGTATTGCATCTCTGAACTGTGCTCAGTTTATTAGAAGATGTATTACCATTGGAAGGTAGTCTAGTACTTAATAGCCATGATAGGGGATGGGATGTGTTTGTATGAGGATATGTATGTATACATACACATACATAAATGGAGGCACATCCATTTTTCTTTTGTTCCTAAGACCATGAATATGTGATATTAGATAATTTGTGGTCACAATGAACTTTAAAAAAAAAAAAGCACAGCAAAGTACCTATGCTTTTTTTTTCTATTCAGAATGCATATTATACCTCAAAAACAAAAGACATCATTAATGACAGACCATTTGGAATTAGAGGCAATCTTCAAAACCCAAGGACCTTTAGAAGACCTTTTAAGGTATTGATTATATGTTTATATTAAGTTTCAGTTTTGGCTATAAAATGATTCTCTAGGTATAGTTGTCTGAATATGTGTTTCATTTACAGTGTTAATGCATGACAAATGGTTTTGTGATGTCCTGTCAACTAAAAATTTATCTTTTAGGATCCTTGAACATGTATTATTTTATAAATTTTCTTAAGATGACATTGAGGTACTGATAAAAATCGCCAAATGCAACATAGTTTTTTCTGTACAACATATGTTAAAGATATTTTATTAGAATTATTTGAAAATGATAATTTTGCACTTGGTAGTAGCTTACCTTTAACCAAATTATTTTAGTTGCCATTAAAATTATACTTACATGACTCAGAGATTACTCTGGGTTCTTCTAGGCAAAACCTATAGCAGAGCACTAGCACTAGATGGTTTTCCCAACCTATTTATATTCCACAAGTGGAACTGACTGAGATAGAGAGAGGTCATCACCTGAAGATTGGGCACCAAGTAATGAATTTTTTGAGCTGTAGGAATTTATGTATACCATTTCCAAATTATAGAGATATTGTAATCTACTTTATTGGAAGGAGTATCTACTGTATGCTGATGCATTTATGGTTCCTGAGAATTTTACATTTTTAATTAATCAGAACATTCTATTCCCAAATTATTTTTAAAAATTTCTCTGCTGTTATAATTTTTGGTGTTGTGTCTTACCTCTGTCTTGGTTAAGTTGCAATCCAGACTTTTTCATAGTTGGAAATGGAAAGATAGTTGGAACATTGGAAGGGTGCAGACAAGAATGGAAAGAAGCTGTCTGAAAGTCTTAGGTTAAGACAGATCTGGCCATCTGGATGATGTGAGTGATCTTGCTCTCTTGCAGGAGATGATCATTGCTCTTAGATGCGAAGTATAGTATTAATGGGATTTGTAATCCATGATGTTTTTTGCTGTTTGTAGTTGTTCACAAGAATATATACTTTATTTCTTAGTCATTCACTGGAGTGTTTTTTTAGATTTCTCCAAGGATCTCAATGGTTTCTCATCCTTTCTGTGGAGAGATTTTTGAAAAATTTTTTTTCCAAAATTAGCAAACTAGAGAGGAAGGTGGAGGAGTAGGTCTCTCTAGATTTCCTCCACACAGAAAAGGACAGAACATTGCCTCACAGCAAATGTAGAACTGCAGAAGTAAACAGAAGTTGGGGTAAAGCTGTTGTCCTCCTAAGACAACCTAAGAAGTCCCTAGGAAAGAAAGACCTGACCTCCAGATGAGAGAGGCCTGAATGACATGTAACTACCTCCATGCCATTCTACCTAATTTACAAGCCCTAGGGGCAGCTTGGTTGGGAGGCAGTCTCATTGCCTCATAGACAGTGTGGGAGTCAGAAGGTTCAGTAGGAGAAGATTGAAAGACCTTCCACTTTAATGTGTGTGTGTGTGTGTGTGTGTGTGAATAAAAAGGGGGTGTGAATAAAGTAAAAAGTACACAGCAAAAAAACAAAAGAAAGCCTATAGGGAAGCAAAGAAAAGCTGAGTAGCTTAGAAAACAATGTATAGTATTTATTATATAGGTTTTCTTGAAATGGAAATTTGTTGTTTTATATTGAATCTTTATGTTCTGTGTACATGGCAGTGTTCTTTTTTTTTTCTTGTTTTGTATTTGTTTAGAATGAACAAAAAATTTACCAAAAATAATTATTTTCCTTATGTGGACACCTGCCTAAAATTTTATAATACTGTGTCATGATTTAATATTATACAATTCTTCCATAATGAAACAAAGGGAAAAAAGTCCTAATATAAAAATCCTAATAAAAAAAACCTAATATAAGATATCCCTCCCCATATGATTGTGTTTTGGTTACTTGCAATCAGATACGAGTTCACCTATCAGGTTATTTGCAGAAACATATATATCTTCATTCTAACCATGATATATAAAGTTTGGGGCATATTATAAATTAATTTTAGTAGAAACTACAGCTAACCAAAGCCTCCATTGTTGCTAATTATAGTCAGCCCTAACAAAACAAGGAATGAATTTAAGTTGGTTTAAGTATTTTTTAAAAATTCAGATCCTTCAAATTACTAGGTGCTCCTTTATATTTCTAAAATGAGATGTCCGATTTTTATACTGGCATAAATACGTTAGGTGTCTTAAAGGAAATTTGAAAATATGGCAAGGATTCATAAATTTGGCATTCAGTAGTCACTATTGTATAGACAGGTAAAGCTCTGATTAAATGCTTATATCAGCTATGTCATTTTGCCACATCCACAACTACCCGTGGAAACATTCTTTCATTCAATGAAGGCAGTGTTATGTAGTTTAAAGAACCCTGTTTTAAGATCAGAAATTACCTTGAATCCCATCTCTGATACAGCTTTGTAACTGTAGGTAAATCACCTAACCTCCTAAGCCTCATCTTCCTCATTGGTAAAATGAAGAAGTTGGAAAGGCCCTATGGTCCCTTTTATTTCTAGACAATGCAGCCCTACAAGGCACTCCCTTTTTCTTAGCCACTGTTTTCTCATCTGTTAAAGTAGAAAATTTTAGACTGCCTACCTCACTATTGTATTGTGTGAGAAGTAATTGGGAAATCTTTAGGCACTTTATAAATGTCAGCTATTTTTGTGTGTGGTCCAAATCTAGTGGCCTTTTCTTAATCCTCAGAGTTCTTGACCTCTCTGCAATCGTTCAGATCACCTCTCTCTCCTGGTTCTCCTCCTACTTGTGTGACTGCTCCTTCTCAGTCTCCTTTATTGGATTTTCATCCATGTCACACCCACAACCTTGAGTGGTCCGCAAAGCTCTGTCCTGGGCCCTTTTTTTTTTCTCCTTCTATACTGTTTCACTTGGTGCTCTCATCAGTTCCTACAGATTGCTATCTTGGTTATGCTGATGATTCCTATCTATTTATTTAGCCCTAACCTCTCTGCTGACCTCCAGTCTTGCATCTCCAACTGCCTATTGCACATCTAGAAATAGATATTGTATAGACATGTTAAAGTCAACATGTCCAAAACTGAACTCATTATCTTTATCCCCCAAAACCTTCCCCTTTTCCAAATTTTTTATTACTGTCAGGGGAGCAATCATCCTTCAATCTGTTACCAAGACCTGTTGATTTACCTTTGTAAAATAGGCCCCCTTCTCTCCTCTGATACTGCCTTGCTGCTGGTATAAGCCTTTATTGCTTCATACCTGGACTATTGCAATGACCCACTGGTTGGTCTGCCTGGTACAAGTATCTTTCCCCTCCAGTCCATCTTCCACTCAGCCAGCAAAGGGATTTTGCTAAAGCATAGGTTCAACCATGTCACCTCCATATTCAGTAAATTTCAATGACTCCCTATTATTTCAAAATCCTCTGTTAGGCATTCATAACTAGCCGCCCACCCCCTAGCTCCCAATCATTCTAGTCTTATACTTTATACCCCACCACATGCTGCTTTATGATCGAGTAGCATTGACCTCCTTACTGTTCCTCAAACAATACTCTTATCTCCTGACTCTGGGCATTTTTGCTTGCAGAACCTCTTGTTCTCCATCCTTATCTCCATCTCCTGGTTTTTTAAAATCTCGGCTAAAATCCTGTCTTCTGTAGGAGGCCTTTTGAGGCCTTTGCCAAGCTCACTTAATTCTGATGTTTTCCCTTTGTATCTTGTTTGTACATAGTTGCCTGCATATTGTTTCCCACATTTGACTGTGAGCTCCTGAGTGTAAAGACTGTATTTTGCCTTTCTTTGTATCCCTAGCACTGTTACATAGTAAGTGTTTAATATGTGATTATTGATTAACTTGAATTCGTAACCCTCCCAAACATCACTGTAATTCTCATGGGATGTTAAAAGCTGAGTAGAGTGAGGTTCTTAGGAATCTAATCTAAGACTCATTGGCCTTGACATGCCAACAAACTCAGGTGTGTTGACTATTTTTGTTACTGTTGTCTTTGATATTTTTTAAGTAGAATATTCATCTCCATAGTTTGGAGATGGAGTTGAAAAATATTTATCAGGAATCCTGTTGGTAGCTTTGTGCAGGCATGCTGACTACGGCAGTGTTTTTGCTTTTGCTGACCGGTTGATTTTATCCCTTTCAAGTTGTTCAAAACTTTTCTCCTTTTCTCTTCCTTCCATGAATGTGCTGTGATTAGTCATTGCCTTACTTTTTTTCCTGGCCAGCAGTCTATTTGAGAGTTTGTTCCTATGGATATACATTCTGATTTTATCATGGTAACAACCAAGAACAAAGACATTTTGCAGAAATTCACCTTTCAACAAACTTTGGAATTCACAGATTCTATAAAATAAGCTATACTTGTATTTTTCTTCTTTTTAAAGTATCGAGTTTGTTTTTCAAAAATATACAAAGAAATACAGAAAAATATTCTGTCTTTTTGTTTTATTTGTTTATTCCCTCATTCCTGTAATTACTCTGAAAGCAATGACAGACAAGTAATCCATGTTATAAGAAGCAAGGTAACAGAAGTGATAGGTGTCATTTGGTAGACAGTATTAGGGGAAAAAAAGAATAATACTACCTTCTCCATTTTTTTGAAATTATTTTGGAATTGTTTGTATCTTTTGGAAATATGTGTAGTGTTTAGATACTAAATATTTTGGATGGCATTTGAGAATTAAGTCCTAGTCCTGGCTGTTTTATATTTATTTGCTGTGTTACCCTGAACAAGTGTCTTGATCTCTCAGTCTCAGTTCCCTTTTCTGAAAACTAGGAATGATACTTAGGATGGGTTTACCTCATATGAATATTGTAAGGCAGAAATGTCAACCTTGAGGTCCACAATATTCCCAAATACAGCCTGAGCCAGCTTGAAGTATAGTTCCTTTCTGATTTTAATGTGTTGATGCATTAATAATAAAAAGAAATATATGAACATGTGTGTTTTTCTAGTCAGTATGTAGTCTGCAGAGATTCACATGTACTGTTTAGTGGCCCCCTTTCTATTTGAATTTGTTATAAGAATTACTTACAATGCTTCTTACTTTCATTTATCTGAGCACACAGATAACTTCTTCATGTCATTCATGAAATTGAATAAGCATCTATTAATTACCTTCTATGTGAAAGACATTGTGTTAAGTGATAGCAATATAAAAATGAAGCACTCCCTTGCCCTCAAAGTGAGCTTATATTCTATTTAAATCCTTCATAGAGAAGCCATCCTTCTGCATTCTGTAGAAGGTAAAACTTGAGTTGCATCTTGAAGAAGGTTGTTCTATGAGACAACCATGAGGAGGGAATTCATTCCATGAAATATACTGGATTGGTAGTATGATCACAGTTCATGAGATGGCTTGAATATGATGTCTTTCCTAACAAGACATGTCTTTTTCAAATGAACGTTTTATTTAAAATTTAAAAAAAAATTCAGATATCAGAAGTTAGGTTTTTTGGGAGGAAAGTCACTATGTATCCTTAAAATATTAATATGGAAAAGTCTATTGGGTTTTTGAAGTTACTTTTTTTTTTAGAGATCAAAAGCTAAATGTTTATTTTTGAGCTTAACCAGGTGTAGATATAATAACAGAGATATAAAATGATGGCTTTTGAGATACCAAGGCATGTAATCTAGTGAGCTAGTTTTTTTTTTTTAAATTCATAGTTGAAATTTGGACAGTCGTTTATTTGCACAGAACCTAGCAAGTTGTTTTTAATTAATTTTAATGAACTCAGCATCACCTTATTACCCTTATATCATTCTTTGAATATCTGAAGTACTTAACATCCAGATTTATTCTATAATGGATTTTTCTGTAATCACTACTGTTAGCTGTAACAATATGACTGTCAAGATAATGTCTGAAAATATTATTTTAAATATGAAGTGGAGGTATTACTGAAGAAGATAAAACTAATGTGTTATATTATTTTAAAATATTGCCTATGTCACATTTGAAAATGGCAATTCTGTCATGTCAATAAAGTATGATTAGGAATCTAAACAGTTTAAAACTGATTTTGTCTTTTTTTTCTTTACAGAACAATTTGATAGATGGCAGATTCCAGCCCCATTATAAATCAGGCCTAGTACTGAAGGGTTTGTATGTTCAAGCTAAGTACCAACGCTTACGTTTTACTGGTTCAAGGGGATTTACCACTAATAAATTCAGAGAAGAATTTCTAAAGAAAGAAAAGGTTAGTTTGATTAAAGTCATATATACTAAAAATTTTAAGTGATTCTAAAGTTCTCAATTTATTAGAATTTATTTTGAATTTAATTGTTTTTAATTAAGATTTCTGAATATAGCAGCTTTTCTCATGGCAGAGTATAAGTGTGAGGGATAATTAAAATAATAAGAATATTTAAGCATAAAATATTTTTAGCCCTAATTGTTAATAAAATACAGAATAACCTGCTTTAGATCTTCTGGTATCTATTGTTATGATTGTACATTAAATTGTACAAAATGTGGATAAGATTAAATGGAGAAAAGCATTAAAATTGTAGTTTTGTTTACTATAATCATAACATAAAAGTCCATAATTTCAGTGTATTTTCAAAGCATTAAGAATTCTTGGAAACCCAGTCAGTTTCAGGTCTTCATCATGCACCCCACTCAATTGTTCGTTTGTTTTTTTATATGTTGTCTTTCCCCCATTAGACTGTGAGCTCCTGGAGGGCGGGATCTGTCTTTTACCTTTCTTTGACTCTCCAGCACTTAGTGCAGTCCCTGGCACATAGTAGGGATTTAAGAATATATTTTCATGGCTTGTGAATTTATTTTTTTCTTTCTAGTTTACCTGTTACTGCCATGATCAGCCAGAGCTTAGAGGAAGATGCTTCTCATCTTTACTACTTGAGGCAGTTTGCACTGCAGCAAGCCTTTAGCCTACAGGCCCTGAGCTTTGAGATAATTGTGGGCAATTTTTCAGGCCACAGGCAGAATGGCCATGCCAAAGGAAGCCAGTTAAGAGTAATTCCTATTGGCAAATCAATATTAGAGGTTCCTTATCTGAAGCAGGCTTTATTGCAGTTTCAAGGTCCTCAGGTTTCTGGTAGTTCTGTGAGCTTCTGCTCTCCTCACTGTCTTCCTGGGTTTCACTAACTGGTTGGTTGCTTTTGATTTATGATTCCTCTTGACTTCCCTACTTCTCCTTGCTATTATTTTCTCATATCTCTGCCTATATTGCAATCATTCTGTTTTGATTTGGCTTCTACCTGACTGGCTGCTTCTTTTATATGTTACTATATTTGCTTCGTGTTCTTTGGGTCTGTTTTGCTCCTGCTACTTGGTTCTAATGTCATTCTTAGCCTTTGCCTTGGCTCTCCCAGCTCTGGGTTACTATCCTATATCTTTGTTCTACTTTATCTGTGGTCCAGCTGGACAATAAACTGACATCATGTTTCAGTTGTTCATCAGAAAACAACGTGGACTATATAATAGATCATGAGACACCTAATGAATCCCTATCAGGAACCCTCAGGACATTGTAGGGATAGATGATTTCTTAATAGATTAAGGTACAAACCTCACGAGAGGCCAAGCACAGCCCTCCATTTTCCCCACTGATTGCCTACCTTTTTTCTGGAGGTTCATTTACATTAATGCTTTGTTCATTTTTTTAAAAATGCAGATTTTAAATCAACATCTATTCCAGAATCTTTCCAGGTTTGTCCTTCAGGCCACTGTGGTTGATGCCTGATGGTTGAACTTTACCATCACTTGTGGTGGGTAATTCCTGCATTTTGGGTAATAAAAATAATTTTCTATCTGCTGGTCAGCGGGGCCTGGAATGAAACAGTGTGGTATGCTCACTTGTTTTCAGTAGTAATCTTCATGAATCTCTTCAATTTTTCCTTTAATTTGCTCAATTATTTTTATCCTTAAGTGCCTTTAGCATGATTTTACTTAGTTGGATCTTTTGCTGGACTTTTTTTAAAGGAGGTTTTACCCTCTGCTCCTTTCTGCTTTGTGAAGTAATAGTGTTCATGGTAAACACCTTCAGGATTTTACAAACGAGTTTATATTATAAACTGGTCTTACCTGTGGTTTCCACGTGTCTCTGCTTCTCCACAAGTCAAATGTTTCTGACTGATACTGACAAATGTTTTATATGTACTTTCTGTGCTCTTTAGTTCTTCCTGTAATGGCAGTAGATTTATAGCAGTTAAACTTCTGTACAAGTTTATTGTAATTGGATTCAGTGTCATTTCTATTGTCCATTTACCAGTTTTCATTGCTAATGATGAGTTTAAATAGTTCAAAATTGAGTTGGTTCTGTTTTCATCATCTTTTCCTCATTTTTTTATCTTAACAATTTTCATCTCTGCACTGACAATTACATTGACTATATATAACTGATTCAACTTCTACATAAATAACATGATTATTCTTGCCCATTAATATGTAATCTAATTAATTTGATATATGGCACATTTGACACCTCCTAATTCTTTCCTGGAAGAAATTGTCTTTGATATAAAGGTGTAAGTTAGTCTCTTGGCCTCTATCATTACCATTTCCTAAATAACATCTCCTCATACATTCTTGCAATCTTCCCCTGTTCCTACCTTTGCATTGAGATCACTATGTATCAGAATGTATGTGGATTTAACTTGGAGAGTTGATTATCAAGTTCGTGCTATAATATCTCTTTTCTGTCTCTTCACCCTTAGCAACCAGTGTTGGTACATAAGCTGTTATTTTTTCATGGTGGTCTTTTTGCAAATCCTTATCAGTACTACAATACATGATGAGCAAATATCCCATGAAAATATTTTATTGCAGTGGAGTCAAGATGGGATAAGTAGCAACTTCAGTTCCCTTAAAATCTCTTCCACAATGACTTAGAAAACATTCCAGAATAAATTCTGAGCAGAACAGGCAAGAAAAAAAATAAATGAGGAATTTTTCCAGCCCACAGCACCATAGGAAGATACTGAGAGGTCTACAGGCTCAGTTTGGAGTCATAGTTCTAAGAAGGCAGTGAAGAGCAGTTGTGGTTATGAGGGAGCAGGGTACCCTATCTGTGCAAGGAGCAGAGCACAGATGAGGAGACAGTGAAGAGACCTCATCCCAGATCACAACACTTTGGAAGCACTGAAAACTTAAATGCCCCCACTGATCTATGAAAGCAACAAAAAGACATCAAATACAGAAGCTTAGGCCAGACATTCCCCCACCCGGAGCTGAGCAGAGCCCAAACTAACTCTACTGTAGTAAAGTACAGAGTCAAGAAGTAGGCTGGTTAAATGAGCCAACAACAACAAAAATAAACCTGACTTTGAAAAACTACAGTGGAAACAGGGAAGCTTAAGACACGAACACAGAAGAAGACAGTGACTTGAAAACATTTACAAGGAAAGCCTCAAAGAAAAATGCAATTTGAACACAGGCCCAACAAGAATTCTTTAAAGAACTAAAGAAAGAGACTTAAAAAAAGAAATAAAATGAGTAATTAGGAAAAGAAATGGTACCAATGTAAGAATATGAACAGCTCAAAAAGAACCACATGCCAAAAATATTTATAGCAGCTCTTTTTGTGATGGCAAAGAATTGGAAATTGAGGGGATGCTCATCAGTTGGGGAATGGCTGAACGAGCTGTGGTATATGGATATAATAGAATACTGTTGTGCTACAAGAAATGATGAACAGGCAGACTTCAGAAAAACCTGGAAAGACTTAAATGAACTGTTTGTGAGTGAAGTACACAGTAACAGCCACAATGTGTGATGACTAACTTTGATGGACTCATCTTCTCTCAGCAATGCAAGGACCCAAGACAACTCACAAGGACTCATGATGGAAAATGCTGTCCACATCCAGAAAAAGAACTGTGAAGTCTGAATGCAGTTTGAAGCACATTATATGATCTTTCTTTTTCCTTTTTGTTTTTTCTTTCTAGTGGTTTCTCCCATTGGTTCTAATTCATCTTCACAATATGACTCATGTGAAAATAGGTTCAATATGAATTAATATATGGAGCCTACATCAGATTACATCCTGTTTTGGGGTGAGGGGGAGGAGAGAGATGGGGAGAAAATTTGGAACTCAAAATCTTAGTGAATGTTGAGAACTATAAATAAATTTTTAAAAATTTAAAAAATATGAAATCTGTCAGGAAAATACCGACCTGGAAAATACATCAAGGAGAGATAATTTAAGAATTATTAAATTAACAGAAAGCCATGAACAAAAACAAAATGAAAAAAAAGTCTAGACATTAAATTTTAAGAAACCATGAAGGAAAACTGCCCTGATATCTTAGAAGAACCAGAAGGCAAAGTAGAAATTGGAAGAATCCATTAGTCACTTTCTGAAACAAATCCCAAAAGGAGAACTCCCCAGAATATTATAGCCAAAATCTTTACAAGAAGAAAATACTGCAAGTAGCAGGAAAGAAAGAATTCATATACCATGGAGTCACAGTAAGGATCACACAAGATTTAACAGCTTCCATGATAAAGGAGCGAAGAGCTTGGAATATGATACCCTGAAAAGCAAAAGAGCTAAGATTGCAACTAAAAATAACCTACCCAGCAAAACTTGAGTGTCGTTCTACAGGGTAAAAAATGGATATTTAATGAAATGGAGGATTTTGAAGATATCCTAATTAAAAGACCGGAGCTAAATAGAAAATTTTGCCATTCAAGTACAGCACTTGAGAAGTATTAAAAAAAAAAAAAAGTAAACTCAAGTAAAAAATCATAAGAAAATAATTAAGCTGCTTACATTCCTATATGGGAAGTTGATATATGTAACCCCCTAAGAATTTAGCATCACTAGGGCACTTAGTGGGAGTCTACTTAAAGGGCCAACTAGGTGGTACAGTGGATAGAGCACTGGGCTTAGCATCAGGAAGACTTCTCTTCTTGAGTTCAAATCTGGCTTTAGATACTTAATATCCCTATGATTCTGGGCAAGTCACTTAACCCTGGTTTTCCTTAATTTTTCATCTATAAAATGAGCTGGAGAAGGGAATGGCAAACCACTCCTGTATTTTTGCCAAGAAAATCTCCCAAAATGGGGTCACAAAAAGTTGAACATGACTGAAACAACTGAATGACAACACTTGGAATGGGTTTTGAGTCTGTTATGTTGGGATCTCAAAAGAAGACTGAAACGGCATGCACTGGGAGAAGGGAGAGGAAGAAGAGAGGAAATTATTTCATAAATAAGGCATAGAAGGAAGTTATACAATGGAGAGAAGTATGAGGGTGGAAAGTGGGCAACTTTTGAACCTTGCTCTCTTAACTGGTTTAAGTAGGAAAGAATATACATATACACATTTGGGTACAGAAATTCCTCTTAAAGAAAAGGAGAGAAAGGGCTAAGAGAAAGGGAGAAAGGGTAAGAGAGAAAGGTAGATTAAGGGAGACATTGTTCAGAATTAAAACAGACTGTTGAGGAGGGGAAAGGGTTAAAAAGAGAAGGATGGAGAATAAAGATGAAGGGAAATACACAGTTAGCGATCATAACTGTGAATGTAAATGGTATGAACTCACCCATAAAACAAAAGTACAGAACAGAATGGATTAAAAACCAAAATTCAACAATATGTTGTTTATAAGAGACACTTTTGAAACAAAGATACACATAGAGAATATACTTTAGCTGAAGTGAAAGGGGCCGGGGTAACAATTGTGATCTCAGGTAAAACAAAAGCAAAAATATACCTAATAAATAAGATAAGAAAATCTACGTTGTTCTAGAAGATACCATAGATAATTAATAGAAATATTAATATAATTAATTGATGATTAACATCAACATGTATACCAAATGGCATAGCATCCAAATTCTTAAAGGAATAGTTAAATGAGTTAAGAGAATAGTAAAACTTTTATATTGGGGGGGGGCTCTGAACCCTCTCAGACCTAGATAAATCTAACCATAAAATAAAGAAGTTAAGGAGGTAAATAGGAAAGTTAGCTGTGTTAGACTTCTGGAGTATATTGAATGGGGAATAGAAAGGAGTATACCTATTTTTCAACTGTGTATGACATCTTCACAAAAATTGACCTTAACATATGGTCACATGTAATAAATATATATATGTGTGTGGTATGTGTGTATGTACCTCACAAACATAGCAGAAATAATATGTGTTGTCCTCTGACCAAAATATAATTAAAAATTACATTCAATGAAGGGTGTTTGAAACTTAGATTAAAAATTGGGGGGAAAAACACAATCTC